GTTTTTAATTTAATTGTCAAAAAACTTTAAAATTCTTAACCTTAAGTTTTTGGTCAGTACATATGGTTGAAAAAATATGTTTTTTTCACTCTATAAAGACAGACAATCACGTATGTCTTCACTATCTGACATTGTAAATTCCAAAATCCATTTAATTTACTCAAAATCAAAAGAGCAAAAAAGTACAGCTGTCCATTAAAAAATTCAAAGTTTGTATAGACTAAAATTGCAATACATTTTGTAGTGGTGACTAAATAACCTGAAAGTGTCATTCAATGCCTTTTGTATGTATATATATTTTAAATTGTGACAGTATCTGTATTACTGTTTAAGCGTATTGATTCCAGAAAAACAATTACATTGTGAAACATGTAACATAAACCCACATTAAATACAGGCATTTCCTATTCCTAGTTGGGCATTCAGTGGCTCCACACTCTGTTGCTGGTAAGAGTACAAGAAAAGAAGGCGACAGCTACTGAATAAAGGCTTTCTGCACCCAGCCTTAGTTCAGCAGGGCTCTGCTGAACTTCAGAAATAAATCGGTCATATTTTCTAAAGGGAAAATCTTGCTTTTTCTATGTTTGGGACAATAGACAGCATTTGGTTCAAGAACACAACCGAACACATTGTTTTGAGCCACATATATCTGAATACGCTTCAATTTGTAAGCTTTCCAGCTTTGTAATGGACAAGTACCTTATTGTCCCAGATTGCAAAGTTGGGGGGAAGAAAGTGTGCCAATTAGCCCTGCTTCTTACCAACTGTAACTTCAAATCATGCTACATTCACCATCTCTCAAGAAGGATAGTTCATTCCTGATCATTTTTCTCTGTGCTGGTAACTGCCAGTTCTCATCAGGGGCTGGGGGTTAATCAACTCTTTGCTCAGGTTCTGGAAAGTGCAAGAAGTTTCATACTGGGTTTGACACGGTCCCAGAAGTGAATAAATTATTTCACACAAATATCTCAAACAGGTTCTGATTAATGAAGTGTACAAGAAGAGAGAGGTTGCCCATCGCTATGGAGAGTGGCAAAAAGTATGATTAAAATACATTTTTCATGCTCAAACTTACTTGAACTAGGAGAAATATTAGCTTTCCTAATTTTTTTTTGTTTTGTTCAAGAATGAAGAATTTGGTCATTTGGGTTTAAATTAAGCATTTGCCTTTGCATTGAACTTGTTCCATCAGAGTGCTGAGATCTTAGAGCTCCTGCATTTCTTGTGTCTTGTATTTCCACCAAGTAGATGTAAATTAAAATGTGAATAGTGTTTCCTTTGTGTGGACTACTGCTTATCGGCATATTCTAAGTAGCTCTTTGACATTGTGAAATTGTGTCAAACTGTGAAGGATGGAATAAAATGTCATTTAAAGAAAAAAATGAAAAGTGTGAATATGACAATTCCCTTGATTTACTTTTGAACATATATAATTAACTACCTGTCTTTGAACTAAAAAGTTTAATGCTGTTTTAAAAAAAAATGAATATGTTACTTTACTTTAAAGTAGGTTACATCAATGACTCTACTTTTTTTCACTTCACATTTGTTGACAAAATCTTCTCCTCCATAAACCTGGGCAATCATTTCAGCTATTCAACTGTACGATGCCTGGAGAGGAAATTTAGAAGTAATTAAAAGCTGCAGCTTCATCTTTCTGCTCACCTTTCAGTTTCATCCATACATTATGGTAGTCAGGGCTTTGTCCTTCAACCAGAATTAAGTTTAAAACACGCTAAAATGTGTTTTAGTCATATTTAAAGCAAGCAAAGAGGCAAGCATTATTTAAATCAGGTCCCCACAAAGATTGTCAGTATGAAATGATAACTGGGTTTCATGACTTCAAAAAATGGGATTGGTTTGTCTCTGATTTAAGGGAGTGTTTCACTAGAACCCCCTTTTTCTCACAAATTTTCTGATATGCAGATATCGTCCATCATTTGCAGTTTGTCATTCGTTATGTACATTCTTGCATGATTTAGGGTAAATGATTTCACATCCTGCAGCACACAGCCGGCAGCAACAATATATATTGCATTTGTTGTCTGAATAATCTAGTGAAACTTTGAAGCTTTGAGAAATAAGCCAGGGAAATAAGCCAGGGAAATAAGTGAGTGAACTTCTCTCACTTCACGGTCTCCCATGTCCAGAAGGGAGAAATGTCCATATAAAGTAGGAATCCTGAGCGACAACAACTCCTACCTGATGAGCCAGTTCCACCCAGCAGTTCTGCCGCTGGGTTTGAGCTGCCTTCTGTCAGTCAAAACACATATGCTTCTCTAAGCCTTATACATTTCTTTACCTTGATGTTTGGAGGCTCATCAGACCAACTCAGACTTTTCAGTTATCTTTGGTTAGTTTTAAAATCCCCAATACCTGCATATATAGCCCTGCAAAATTCTTCAGACCTCTTGGATTTTTTCATATTTTGTTATGCTACAACCACAAACTGCTTTATGTTTTATTTAAAATACACAAGCATGTTGTTCTTATTTGGAAGTTATATTAAAAAAAAACACGGCTTTTAAAAACATTTTAGAAATAAGAATCTGAAAAGTGTGGGGTATTTAAGTATTCTGTGCCCTGGAGTGAATGCTTTGTAAAGACCACAATTTTGTAATTCCAGCTTATTTTTGGAAAAATAGTTTCCCATTCTTCTTTGAAACATAACTCTAGCTCAGTCGGATTGAAAGAATCATGTCTTTAAGCATCAATGTTCAAGAGTTTCCACAGAGTCTAAATTTGGAATCAGGCCTGGGATTTGACATGGCCATTCTCATCCATGAATAAGCTTTGCTCTTTATCTAAGCCATTCCGTAGTAGTTCTTGCTGAGAACTGAACTTTCACCTCAGTCCCGATGCCCTAGACATATTTACACAATTGCATTGTATGTACATAGCTCCATCCCTCTTCTCATAATTTACTCTCTTCCTGATTCATGCTACTGTCACAACTGTCTTCATATTAATAGTGTAAAGTGTTGTCTTTATTGCACCACTGTACACTTATTGTTTTGCATTTATACTTTAAGATTTAAAGTAGTTCAAATAGTATTAACATGTTTGCAAGGTGTGTTGGTAAAGACCTAAACATTTGAACCCAAAGCTATGAAGCAATCAGTAATAATAAAGTGGAAGCGCCACACGCTATGCACCATTTGTTCAGCTTCCAAGGCAAGATTAAAACGGAATAAAGAAATTGAATAGCAGTTTAGCAGTTTTATAAATGGTTGCATCATTTTCCTTTTTGTTTTGCAGAAATATATCAAAACCAACACAGAACATTAACTGCAGTCATTATATGCCCACAGCCAAAGCCCACGCAGGAAGCAGGAACTTGTGTTACAGATGAGTCAGTGGCCGTCAGTAAATGTGGTGAACAACGCTCTTCAAACTGTGTCCCTAACATCATTCATTTGGAATCCACAGATGTGTTATGTTAATATTGGCAAAGACGACAGAGCAGCAACACCTGCAGCTTTGAAGAAAGTCTTGATTGACAGGAACTTAAACCTCTTCTGCATGTTACTGGGAACAGTTCGATGAAATTCAGCTTTAGCAGGCAACACTGTCAAATATTCAAAGAAACTCACTCCAATAGTGTATATATGCTGTCTCCACTTCATGATTTTGTTGACTGTAAATGCATCTGTAGCTTTGAATCACCTGCAATTGAGTTTGCTGTTGCTTTATGGTTCATATCACACCTGGTGTGACACAATGTCTGACACATTACTAAGTTGTGAAATTTCAACCTTGCCATGGAGACAATTTACATTTAAAACGGAAGCATCTGTTAGTTTTTATGTATTTTTTTCCAAATATTCTTAATATCAAATTACTTTAAGAAATAATCTAAGTCACCTTTAGTGTTACAGTTCAACAATTCAAAAAGGATCTATGAACATAGCAATATTGCAAGAATTTGATATATTTTTTTACCATCAGACTTATTCCTCTATTTTCCGTCTTTCAATGTCATCACTTTGTGTTGGTTTTTAATTTTAATACTTATCTATAGTGCCTCCCCCAAGTGTTATGCTAGCATATAAACTCAACCAACCCAGTCCATGCATGCACTAATCTTTTGTTTACTTCTGAGATGGATGAAGCAATTCAAATCATTATAAGTAGTCTAAAGTTATTAATTATAAGTAAAATTGCATTTTTAATGGAGTCCCTGTTAGTTAAGTATGCATTTGCTCTTCTTGTATTCAGGCAAAATTAGTGTTCTTTAAGCTGGAGGAGTCATAATTTATTGAAATCCACTTCATAAATGAGTGGCTGTTCAGTAAATTAGCCAATCTAAAGTTAGAGCATTGGGTCTATTGTTTTAAGTTTTTTTTTTTTTTTTTTTTTTTACATTCTGCGTATTCAAACTCAGCATAATGTGATTTGAAAGTGGAAGCTTACTGCTGGGCAGTGTCACTGAGTCGTCGCTGATTTTGTTAATGCACTCAAGTTTCAATGGACACAGTTTAATTTCAAGGTTTTAAATATTATATCATACTCCTTGGTCTAGGGACAGACTACACACCCATCCCTCATCTGATAAACATTAAAGCTTCCTGCGCTGCTTTTCCTCCTGTCAGTGTGCAGTTTTATCGGAACAACATAACACTTGGAGTTTTGCTTCTGGCACTGAACAAAACAACACACAAATCTCAGTGCCAGTGCAGTATCTATCCAAGCTTGTATCGAGCTGAGCTGTGTTTATGATAAGAGCCATCAGTTTGCTCTGTTTTGCTATGGGATCACATGAAAACCTCTCCATTAGAACACTTTAAGAAAATCCTTCATTGTGTTTGAGAATTCTTTCTTTTAAATCCAAGCCCAAGGTCTTCTATTTTGTTTGATATCTCATCAATCATCATCTTGTCATTACCCCAGCGTACTGATTAAAATGCACAATCTGAGCTCAGTACCTCTCTGTTCCCTTCTCTGTCCCTCCATGTGTCTCCCTCCTCTCCTCCTCCTTCTCCTAATCCATTTTCTCGCAGTGTCCTGAGGGGTTGAGACCGATGAAGGATGGCTCTGGTTGCTATGACTACTCCAGAGGCGTTGACTGCACGGATGGCTTCAACGGAGGTTGTGAACAGCTGTGCCTTCAGCAGCTTGTACCCCTTGAAGATGACCCCACTGCCAACAATATTCTTATGTTTTGCGGGTGAGTATGACTACTAGAAAGAAAATCTGTAAAAACTGTTCCCATGGTGTAAATACAGTCACAGGAATTATTTGGTACGCTCCAAAATTCAATATCTCTGAAACCATACTCGTCTTCATTTCACTTTATAAGCCTCTAACATCATTGTGAAGTAATTTTGCAACATTGCTCCAACACACTGAGGTTCTGCAGGTTAAGATTTTTCCACAGTATTTCAGTCAGGTTGAGGTTTGAACTTTGACTGGACCATGGTGGCACATTTAAGATCGACTCAGATTGAACCAAGCTAAACCAGCCTCATCTGTAACCCGAGAATCTATTGGTATAGTTTACTCAGTGACTGCTAAGTGTGAAGGCTGAAAATCCATCCCAAATCATCACCACTGCACTGCTTAATGACTGGTGTGCATTATGGTCAGACATTTCTACTTTGATCTCATCTGTCAGATGGATGTCATTGCAGAAATGTTGCCGTTCATCCTGGTGCAACTTTATAAACCATGGTTCTACTGACATAGTATTTTGAAAGAAAACATATTTTTTTATGAAAAGTCTTCCGAAAAAAATCATGCTTGCCTTTTTATATTTTTATTATAAAGTTTATGAGTGACAGATTACAATGCAATTTTAAGGTGTGTGCAGCATCTCCACTGTTGCATTGATAAAATCTAAAACTAACACACTCCTACATAAGAAAAATATCTCTACCATATTCTCTTTTATTTTATATATTTCTATTGTATATTTTTTGGCAATGCATTATGATCTGTTCTAAACATAAATTTCAAATGCATTACAGTAGCAGAATTGCAGTGATATATTTCCCATTGAATTCAAGGTTATAGGCCAGCAAGCAGAAAAATCTTTTGCTTTTTCATCTGCTAATAATCACCTAATCAAGCACATTTGATTAGCACTTTCTGGCTGCTGTTTTACTTCTAAAAGCTTATGAAAGCAGCAAGAGAATGTGTCACTTTTTTCCTTGGCGTCTACTGTCAGGGAACTTTGCTTCCTCCTTAATAACGGTTTTAATGGCAAAGTTTTAATTGAAAGTGTTCATCAGTCTAATGCCCATTTCAAAATTAAAACAATCTACAAACACTGTACTGTATGCGACATAAAATGCAACTTAGTGTTTTGTTAGTTTGACTTCATTTTATCTTCAAATCAAATTTACATTTTTTGTTTTTATGTTCATTTTTTTATACATTTGCAGTTGATAAAATATGCATTAGTTCCACATGGGAGGAATGTTTTATTACAAGTGAAACAATCTTCTACTTGGTACAATTTGGTATTTTTTACAACACCACAGACATGAGCCAGAACATTGCAGTTTGGGCACAAAACAGTCTTGTATTTACTCCTTTACATATAGACATATACAGATATATAGATATAGATATAGCCAGTTTAAGTATGTTCCTGACTGTTCTTTATTTATATCACCTTAAACTTTTATATCCTTTATTTTCTTTGAACAAGACCTTTCACCTTTGTGTGTGTGTTTGTTCAGATACCTCGCATTACGCTGACAGCTTGTGCCTCGTTCACAGGTGCGTGCAGGAGTACAAGTTGGCAGGAGACGGGCGCTCCTGCCTTCTGCAGTCAGAGAACTGTGAGGGACAAAAATGCCTGAGGCAAGATGTCCACTTCAATGACACTCTGTTTGGTGAGATGCTGCATGGATATAACAACAAAACGCAGCAAGTCAACTTGGGGCAGATATTCCAAATGACCTTCCGGTAATTTATGTTCAAACACACACACGACACTAACACAAGATGTTGCTTTTAGATACAGTTTTCAGACTATAGTGAGAAGTTTCAAAATGTCATTTTAAAAATACCCATTGCCGACATTGTAACAAATTTTCAGATTCTTAAACAATATCTAAAGAAAAGTTTTATTTAATAGTGACCTCATTGAAGAAGCTCTAAAAGCCAGTTGTCTGGGTTGTTGGTTTTACTGCGTTTCTGCTTGCATAGATGTGTGCACCGTCTTTGTATTTGGGGGCATGGAGAGTGAGAAGTGTACGCGAGAAAATGATGGCTGAGTAAGGATTGAGACTTATCCTATGGCAGTTCTCCCTAAACCGGCAGCCTCCTGAAGATCTGGCTCACTGTGATAAGTCGAATGATGCCTGCAATGAAAAGCATAATTCAGAAAGATGATGAGGTTCTATCTATGCATGAATGCAATACACACAGAAAATGTGCTCAAATCATATCTCACATTAGTTGTATATCTTTTACTCATTTTGTTCCGTCTGTTTCACTCCTCCATTACCCAGTTTTTATATCAGCATTTTTTTTTCCACATTATCATGTTGTGCTTTTCATCAGTTCCGCCTTGTGGGTCACAGTGTCTCAGCGTGGCTAATAAAAAAAGTAATAATTGTAATAGCTGATACCATTATCTACCTGCTGTAGGTCCTGTGAGTCACAGTGTGAGAAACAGTGTACTGTAATGAGAGACTGAACAGTCTCTAACAGTGAAAGTGAAATTAAACAATTCCTTTTATCATTGAGCTGACGATACGTTTTTGATGGGTCAATACTTTGGGGGAAATAATTGCACTTGATATAAACTTCCAAAAGTAATTCAACAAAAACAACAAGTGCCTTTAAGATAGATGCACTGTAACTGTGGTTTAAAATGCATCTACAATTACTAAATTTATACCCAGAATACTGCCTATATAGAAGCTAATAGCCAAATAAATCTACTCAAATTAACTAATCAAATTACCTAATCAAATACATTCTGTAGAGTTCTGTAGGAAATTCACAAGGCATGGACTGCAGCTGGAGCCAGTGCTACAAGAGTGACCAAATATGGATGTATGCAGGAGATAACACACATGGTCACATTTCTTGTGGTAACCCACTCCTGATCGTCTTTCATGTCCTAAGGAGAAGCAGCACAGGATTTTTACTCACTGGTCCAAAGCCCTCTTTGAAAAAAAAAATAAAAAAGGTAAGTTTTGAATTTAATTTTGAATTAAAGCCCCAGAGTCTGGAGGAATATGGAGGAGGCACAGATTCTTGGTTCTGTGCCTAATTGCTATGTGCATATTAAGTCTGAAGTTAGTACAGCCATTTACCAGGAAAATATAAGCTACTTAAACCTGACAAACTTAGTGAAGATCCTGATTTCATTTACCTGCTGGGCTTGGCAGTTGCAAAAAGTACCGGGACCTGGTTAATGACAATGCAGGATTGGATGACAATCTTGCCAGACCTAAAATCCCAGAAAATCAACAGAAGAGTATGATAAAATGAGAGACACCAGAACTAATAATGCAAATGAGCTAAAGGTTGCTATAAATAAACACAGGCTGCCTAAAAATTCTCTGCAGAGCCATAGTCTGGTTAGACTAGACATAGTCGCACTAGATTGATGCAGTAAACAATGCAAACCTAGTTGTGACTTGTGCTATACATTAAATGAAAATATGTTTCAGTTGGCTGCAATTTGTGTTAATTTTGTATTGGTATTATATCATAATGGCATCCTACTGAGAAACTGAATCTGAGGATATCATTAGATGGACCATATTCATCCAAATGAAGAGGAAGGGAAGCTTGAGTTCAGTCATTCAGGTTGTATTTAATGCAAGATTCATATTTTAAAATAATCTTTTCTCTGATTTTCTCATTTACTGAAATCCACCTTTATGTAAAAATGCATGCTAATCATTGCAAGTATCCCAGTGAAAAATGTATCATCTATCTTACTGTCAAATTTTACAACAAAGAACAAAACAAAGCACCAGGGCTTGAGTTTGAAGTGGATCAATCTGGACTATTAGATTTAGCTCATTGGCTCATTCATATTGTACCCAGTAGTACAAATGTAGTCCAAATGTTTAAATGTGGGCCTTTCTCCCATAGTGGTACACTGGGAGAAAGAATGGAGATCAGATATATTTGGGAAGTGCGCTGTAGTACTTCAGTTTGTATTCTAGTGACGAAGTAAAATCCAAAGAGAAAAGAACCCCTTACCATAATATATTGAAAAGTTAATTTTTGTTTGAGAAAAGTACCCCCAGTGCTAGAAATAACTCTATGAGATGGATGATGGAATCAGAAGATTACTGAGGTGTTTGAGGAAAAAGATCCAGTTGTCCAAAAATGTTAAGCAGTCAACCTATGTAATGAGATGATATCAAATACACACTTTCAACTCTGACAAGGCATTGTTTCAAGAAATGGATTGTTTTAATCAGACCAGCAGTGTTTCTCAGACAAATTGTTCGAAAACCTAAAATAGGGCTAAAGTCTGCATAGAATCATTAAAAAAACAACATAAAGACTACATTAAAAGCTTAGAGGATAATGATGAGGTAGGGCTAAAATGATTGCTGGTTTTAATAGTTATTATGGGGAATTTTCCAAAACACTACCATTTTGAAATTAAATTACTAAGAAAACTAAAAGCTCTTTTGAAATCTTCCATTGCCTGTGTGCTACTGGTACATTTCAGACCCAAACAGAGGACACCAGGAGTTCAGCTGGAGATTTTGCATCCTCAAAGAAACACTCTGGTCTTCAGTGACTGTATTATGGATTTTACAAGTACACTGAAAGGCTTTCTGAAAATGTTTTTTCTGTCCACACTTCATGTAGAATGAAAGGACACTGTTACTATTAGTGCTAAGTTATTTCCTTCTGCCAGCCACTCATGCTTCCTGCATCTTCCACTAAAAGGGTTAAGTGTAGCCAGACATATTAGCCCGCAACAATACGTCCAGTTGCATATTGTATATCTTATATATAAGAATTTAATGCAAACCCAAATTAGCTTATTAATGCATTAAAGGATTTCAAACATTTAGCAGAGCATAGAAAACACAGATAAAGCTTTCATTGTTTTATTTAACTGACTTGGTTTTGTATCTGTGTGTGCCCAAGGGCCACATGTCAAGAAATACGATAGGGATGAAGAGCTGGAGTGGGAATTGTTTTTATTTTGATCACCTTAAGAGCTGTAAGCTAAATGGGTCTCAATATCCATCTTCAGAGAATTACTTTAACATGATTGACATGTCTACAGCCTAATATGGGAAAAGACCAAATGTTTTCTAATGTTTCACAAGCTTTAACCAGTTGGGAACTGCCTCTGATACACTGACAGGGCACAGTTTGACAGATAAAAGTATGGCACGGTTTAGAGATTTTAGCCACAGGAGAGAGACAGTCTTGATCCATTTGCCCTTAAGCAGTGGTTTCTATACCTCCAGATCGTAGGTCTGTACACCAGGTCAAATAAAACTCTGAGAAGGAGAGACATTTGTACTGAAGCCAAGATTGAACTGGACTTTTACAAATGCCTGTTTTAAAATCACTTAAATCTGTCTGTGTATGAGAAAACAAAGCATTGCAGTATCAAATACAAGTGTTTAGAGGTTTTTTATGTTTTTACAGTTTATCTGGTGTCCACTGTTATGCCATTAATCACATGTGCCCTCAATCTTGCTTAATGCATTTTCTTTCTTTCTTTTTTCTTTTTTTTTTTTTTGAACAAGCATCTTAGTGGTTATTATTTGTCATTTTTAAAGATCAGGCCCTATGTCAAGCAATAACATTACGATTTTCACCTTTTTACATTTAATCTTTTTAAGTTGTAATTATTTTCAGCTGGAAAAAAAAACAGATTTGTTTCTCAGTAAGCTAGAATGAGGTGAAATATTTCTGCTTTGAAATATTTACAGACTTGTGTCAATATACTGAATAGTATTAGCTCCAAAAACTTTGACAGGGCTCCCTTGGCATGACTTACTGCATCAAATATGTCTAGCATGAAAACCACCAGGGGTTTATCCTGCACCTGTTTCTTCTCCTGAACTGTCCAATAATATGCTTACACATGGCCTTTCACCACTTGTTGAGGATGTCACTCTAACCTTACCTTAGCTGTGAAATCAGAAGTCTTCAAATGTTACATTTCTGAATAAAATCTACATTTTATCTATTGTACTTATACTTTTAAACTACTCAGAAACTGGTTTTTGGAGTAGTGTTAGCTGTGAGCGATAGTGGTAAAAAATAGTTGTTCAGAACATATCACCAAATGTGAAATAAATCTATTACTTGAATGCTATTTTTTAAAAAAAAAGGACACTCAGAAAAGTTTATAGTTCTGGCAATGTGGTCAAGAAAGTATGACGTTTCTTTGCAGTCAAATTAATGGCTGGTATACTTACTTGTTGGATATATTTGAATATATTTGATGAATAATTCATCTAAACGCTGTTTCGTTCTACCAAGCATCAAATCACTACTCATCCACAGCACTCCAGCCACCCTTTCCCTGGCTTTATAAATTGGTCATTTGCTGTGGTTATTTATCTTTCCAAGAATGTTGGGTACATTTTGTCCACCGAGAGACTTCTGTAATTTGCAGAGAACCACATGTTCTCTTTCCCATTTTGACGCTCTTCACTTTATTACACCTTTACAGTTTGCACCTGTTCCCTGAAGCTCGAAAACATTTCCATACTAATTGTGAGATGCACACACTGCTGTACTTGCATATTCTCTTGCAGTTGGCTGATTGTGTGCAGATGTCAGGCAACACACACTTTCAGGCTGATTGTGGATGCTTCAATAAATGACACCCATATTTTTGTGTAAAGTCTGTTTGAATCTAAGTGCAAAAACCATAATATAGACTGATCTGATCTACCAATTTTGATCCTTTTCATTTGGTGATTTCAAAGAATTTAACTGTAATCTGAGGT